ATCATTTGTATCTAAAAAATTTGGTGATCAAAAGTACATTTACTCTAGAACATTGACATTTTTTTTCTGTCTACCGTGCGCACATTGAGTTGAAAACAATGTGTACATCAGCACTATAAGCTATTTTAAGAACGAACTTGAACAGTACAAAAGCAGGCGTGAAAACATCAAAGTAGAAAAGTCAACAACAGTTTTGGCCGTTGAATATCACATACAATACGGATGGCTAAGAATATCAAGAAAGTATCGTCTCGCAAGAAAATGTAGAATCTAACACACAGATTATAATATTGAACTGGCTTCTACTTCAAGCGACGATCCCCGCTCAGTGCTGTTTTGACTAGATCGATTTCTCGTTGAATCATTTGCACTTGGTCAATATTTGGGCGTAACTTTGTTTCAAACAGCAAGAGAGCTTGAACTAAATATTTCAAAGCTTCCTCGTAGTTTTTTGTCCTTGAATGAACTTTACCAATGTAATGTAATAATTCACCGATTGATGGATGATCTTTCGAAAGTAGCTCGCTGCGTAATTTTGATGCTCGAGTAAAGTGCTTGAATGCAACATCAGGTATTTCTTTCTCATGTAAATAGAAAACGCTCAGTTTCATCAAACAAGTTGCTAAAGTTAGTTTATCAATTGGTACACATTTTTCTAATATTTCTAAGGCTTGCTGATAATATTTTAATTGCTGCTCCTTGTCCTTTTCAATATCACCCATTTTTAATAGAATTAGAACAACTTTAGCGTTAGGACCAAAATATATTCGTTGTATTAGTGATAGCTTTTTCCTACAAAAGTCGAGTGCAATTGCATGTTCATTATCTAATTCATATGTGTCGGTAATACTCATGATAGTACTAAGAAGTTGCGGGTGATCCGCTGGTAAGGTGGATTCTTCGATTTGCAATGCTTGATGATAGTACTCGAGGGCTGTTTTGAACCTTTTCTCCTTTACATGAACGCCAGCAATATGTCCAAGAGTAAGAGCTGTGTAAGGATGCTGTTCTGGAAGTAATTTATGGTAGATATTAAGTGCTTCAGCTAAATGATGAAGTGAAGCAGGATAGTCATTTTCAGCCTTATAAACCAAAGCCACATTAATCATAGTCCGAGCAATATTTACGTGACCCTTTGGATACATTTCTTGAAAGAATTTTAATGCTTTATCATAAAAGTACGTGGCACGTTGATAATCGTCTTTCAAATAATATACGTTTCCGATACTATTCCATGATGCCGCTATATGCGGATTTCCTAAATTAGATTTCCTGGCCCGTCCTCGGTATGAAGTCGAGTACTGTTTTAAGGCTAAGTCTAGGTCGCCTCTTGCTTTATAAACATGACCAAGGTGATGGTCGATTGTGTCGATTGTATCAACGTTATAGCCTTGGTTTTGTTTCATGAATGTAAAATACGTGTGAGCTTTTTCGAAGTGTCCCATATCAATGAGTAGACGCCCAAATAAAAGTTCTGGATTCGTACACTCAAGTTCATTTTTTAACAAAGTAAAATAGCCTTGAACATGATTCGACCCTTCATCTGTGGCTACAAGTTCGATCAACCATACTTTTAATGTATTATCAAAGGCTACATTCATTACCTTGAATACGGCACTAATACTAAACAACACTTCCTTTTCATCTTTCATGTGACTATACTTGGTTATATCTGCGAAATGAACTGTTGTTAAATTTGATTTTGCTGTGATTTGAAATAAGACTGTTTTTAGCTCCTCGGTATCAGCTACACCAGCGACAAACACAAGAGCCAAATCCCGATCTCGAGTGGTGGATAGAAACCCGTTCGTCGATATCAGCACTCCGATATTATCTTTCAGCTTCTGTAATTCATCATTTGATATACGTTGAGCTCTATAAAGTAGAGTAGGAGCGGATGAATGGAAGAAGGGTTTTTGTCGACTACTCTCGCCTTCGAGTTGACTGCATAGATCAATTATGTAAAATCGAAATAAAAATAAGCCGACTATGTCATCAGTTCTGAGCGCTTTATTCAAAAGTCGATAAATGAAGCTGTCTTTCGTATGCCATTCAAGAGCATTTTTAGCTACATATGTTTGTCGAAAATGCTCGATTTTTTGCAATTCACATTTATTTGTTCGATAATAATCTTCACAAGCTTGAAGCATTTCTTCTTGAGCTGCGGATGAAATTTTTGTACGTGACATTCTTTTGATGACATCAATTAGCAGTTGGAACCAAAAGAATGAAGCTGACTCTTGTGATAAATCTTTTGTTGATTTCTGTTTTTGATCGAAAAATCGTAAAGCCAGCATTTGTTGTCGTACTAGCTTAATGTTACGTTGAATAGCTTTAACTAACGCTTTGTATGCCGTAACTACGTCAATAACTTTCGAATATTCGTCTATAAAATGTTCATGATATTTTCGAGTCTTACAAAAAATGAACACTGAATGTATGACGGGCAGCGAATGTATGTCAGCAAGAATTTCATTTGCAAAGCTATCGGAAATAATTAGAAATAATTTCTCACTGGTCACTGTTTGCATATATTCAAGAAAAAGCTTTGTCTGTGTGTAAATGACAATATAGCCAACGATATTTTCGAGTAAAGGTCGAACGTTTTCGTATTTCTCACTGGTATAAACAGCATTTGCATCTAACCACACTAATGTTATATCTTAGTTATTTATGTGCGGTTCATTCAACAGGAAATCTTCACTGTCATCGATATCATTCGAGAAGGTTTGAGTCGATTTCGAACATGAT